GAAAGCTTCGAAATGTGGTGTTGGAGAAGGATGGAGAAGATCAGTTGGACTGATTATGGAAGAAGTGTTAATTAGAGTCAGTGAGCAGAGGAATATCCTACATGAAATAAGAAAACGGAAGGCTAATTGGATTGGTCATGTTTTACGCAGAAACTGCCTTCTAAAAGAAGTTATTGAAGGAAAGATAGCGGGACGGATAGAAGTGACAAGAATATGTAAGAAGATGCTGGATAAACTTGGGGACCGAAGAGGATACTGTCATTTGAAGGAGAAAGCTCTAGATCGCATTAAGTGGAGGAACTGTTTTGGAAGAAGTCTATGAATAGCTGATGTACTCTTATTCTATTCCCATTTTCTCCAGTTATCTGATGAATGCAAAAGAGCTGATCAGTAGTTGATCTGTTATGTCAAAACCCACACTGATTATCCCCAATAATTTCATCTATGTATGGACTTAACATTTTGACAATATTGGATACAGTTTTGTATGAAGTTGATAGCAGTGATATCCCCCCAAAATTTCTAGTCAGTTTTATCACCCTTCTTGAGAAATGGTACAATAATAGACACATTTTTTCTTTGTGCCAGATAGAATTAATTAGCTTGTGGATCTTAGAACGTAATATTTCGCCTCCTGCTTGAATAAGTTCTGCTGGAATTTGATCACTACCTGGCGATTTATATCTTTTCAATTTTGCAATATCAATTTCAACATCAAAAGGGCTAGGACCAGGTACTAACGGTTCAGCTGTATGTATTTCTATCTCTCTAACATCACTGACCCTATGTACATTCAATAACTGAGAGTAGTAGTTCTTCCACCTATTCAAAATGTTGTGGGAATCTGCAAGCAGATCACCATTCTCATCCTTTACTAAGTTACTTCTAGGTTGTTAACCACTCTTAAAGTCATTTATTCCTGTATACAGATCTCTTAATGTTCTTGTTCTTACTGTTCATTGCAAGCTCATCAGTTTTGTGTTTCAGATATTCCCTTTTTTTATTCCTGAAATGCCTCCTGGTTTCACGTCTTATATTTTTCAGATTATCCCCATTTATTTTGCTTGGATCCTGTAACCACTGCAATTTGGCTTGTTTTCTTTGTTCTAATAATTTTGAGCATCCTTGAACAAACCATGGCTTATGCTTCATCAGTTCACAATCAGCTAGACTATCCTTGGCAGAAACTCTCATTCCCAATTGTTGATTTGAAAATCTTCCCTACCTACTTTGGCATTGAAATCTCCTAACAAAACTTTCATATGGTACTTCAGGAATTTCAAATACATGTACAATTTCTTCATAGAACCTGTCCTTCATATCAATTTTATGCTGCTGGTTTTCAGGGGATTGTGAAACAATGGGATAAGTACCTCAATGTACAGGGAGATTATGTTGAGAAACAAAAGCATTTTTCAAATCAGTATTCTTATTTAAGTTCTGTATCCATTTGTAACTTACCTATTGACTTACCCTCATATATATATATATATATATATATATATATACACACACACACACAACACGACATCATAAAATATATTGTCTCAGTTATGTA